GGACCTCGTGTGCTGCTCCTGCCAAACACCCAGATCAAGGCTGCACTTCCAAACACTTTGGGGTTTTTCCCCCTCCCCCCCAAATGCCAGCTGTCCTCGGTTAATGCTTCAGTCATTCTGGTCTTTTTCTGGATCACAGAGCAGCAGCAGCACTGCTGTGCCTGCAGTCCCTCCCTGCTGGCCCTGTGGCAGCTCTGGGGGCTGGGGACAGTGACCTGTGCCCACGGCCAGCCCTGGCCCCGGCAGTGCTGGCACTGTCCCTGGCACACCGTGCCCTCCTGGCAGCCTGGGCACAGAGGGAACAAAAAACTGCAGGACACAAACCCAGAGCAACCTCTGCAGGCTGGGCTGATTGATCTCCTCACACACAAAACTCCTTCCTACACCAGGGTCACAGAGGGACAGGGGGACAGGGGACAGGGGGACAGAGAGGGGGACAGGGACAGAGGGACAGGGGGACAGAGGGACAGGGAGATAGAGGGATAGAGGGATAGAGACACAGGGGGACACGGGGACAGGGGGACACAGAGGAATAGAGACACAGAGGGACAGAGGGACAGGGGACAGAGGGACAGAGGGACAAGGCTCGTCCTTGGCTGGAGCCTGCCCGGCTGCTGTGCAGCTGCTGGGACACAGGGGGGGCTCCCACCCCTGCCTGGAGCAGGGCACAGCTCTGCTCCCTCTCACAGCCATGAAGGGCACAGCCAGGGGCTCAGGGGTGACCACTGCCAGGGGCTGCAGGGCAGGGACAGCCCAGAGCCAAAGCCACCCTTGCTGCTTCCTCAGCATCACTTTCCATAGGTTGTCAGAACTAACTCTGAGCCCTAAATCCAACCAACTCTTCTGTCAAGCTTTGTTTTCCTTGCTCACTGAGCAGCAGATCCTTGGCCTAATCTGACAATCAGATTTGACACAACTGGTTTCCAATAAACAACAGCATTTCTCATCTATGGAGGAACTCTCATCGACAACTCTGCCGCTTTTTCAGCCGGCCCTGACAAATTGGGAGAGCAAAAAAGCTCGGAGCAAGGTCCTTCAGGCATGACCAGACTGACAGACCTGGCTGGCTGCAGCCCCAGCACCTGCAGATGATCATCCTGCTGAGAGTTTGCTTTGGCAACAGGGGCCAGAGGCATCGATGATGACAATAATTACCTGGGAACAGAAACATCTCCTGTCAGCGGGGAAGAATCTTGCATTATTCATTGGATTAGACTTCATTTTGCTCGCTTTGGGGTCATTTTGATCTTCACTGATTTAAAACCAGACAGAAGCAGCTCCTGGATCATGTGGCAGTGTTGGTTTAAAGAGAACTGGGTGATGTTCCTCTCCCACATCTTGCCCGTTTGACAGCACAGCTGTGGGTGTCACTGTGCAAAGGCTGCTCCGTTTTGTGAGTCCAATTTCTGCCACACAATGAATTGATGAGTCAGTGGTGGGCACATCGGAATGGGATCCTCGAGCTCAGTCACACATGCACAGTGACAGGCCCCAGCTGGCTGCAGCAATCCCAAATGGATTCTCCCAGGGAATGGTGTCAGGCACCAGGGAATATCACTGACATTTCTCCTTCCTGCTGCACATCCCCACCCCGGAGCACTCATCTCTGTATCCCAGCATACTCTGCAGCCTCCACCACAAACACCTCTGCACATCAGCCCCCTGCCAGCTGCAAGGCACATCTGGCCAGCTCCTGCACAGGG